CCTGAAATATTTCAGTTAGTGTGCAATGAATCTAAAATATATGAATGTTAAATTTTCATCATGACATTATGGAAAATAATGAACTTTATCACAATATGCTAATATTTTGAGAAGGACCTGTATTTGGGCTGTAGGAAACTTAACATTCAGACTAAACTGGACCTCTGGTTTTTAAATACAGCAGAGACGGATTTTTACCATGGCTTTGTCCTGAAGAAAAATTGTGCTATTTCAGTTATTAAAAACACACCAGATTATATAGTGAATGACGAGCTCATAAGTAGTTTAATTTTCCGTCATGTAGATGCACCATGAGGAGTATGAGGGAGAACAGCTTTACTGCTTGAGAAATGCATAATACTACGACTCTGGTGGGACTCGAACCCACAACCTTTGAATTACCACTCGCTGTCTAGAAGTCCAACGCGCTATCCATTGCGCCACAGAGCCTTCAGTACCATTCACCGGCGAGCTACAAATTTCTCTGGAGTCAGATGTACACATATATGAACCCTGGATAAGGGTTTATGTTTCAATTTTTTACCTTAAGTGAAACATTCAATTATATTAAAAGCTTTAAGTCAATTCCATACTGTTCAATAATACGCTAGCAAGAAAGACAATATAATGTTTTATATAAAGTCAGATTTCATTATTTAAATAATCTTTTTTTAATTAAAATTAAAAATTGTGTATGGTCTTACCTTTATTTGTATATGACATCCCTGGAATCAGGTTGCATTAATCAAGTCTTTTAAAAGTCTACAAGCAGGGTAAGCCACAAAAGGTCATTACTAAAGAAGCTGGCTGTTCACAAGAGTGCTGTATCCAATCCTACTTATGGAAAATTGAGTGGAAGGAAGAAGCATGGCAGAAAAAGGTGCACCAGCAACATGAAAAACCATGTAATGGATCTGCTAAATTTGAAGTAAATTATGAAAATAAATTAAGACTGATATTCTAATTTATTGAGGTGAGCCTGTATGTTAGATTAATAGCAGGATTACAGGTGGAGTATTGCTAAGCTTCATCTGTGCGGACTGCCCTGAAATTACTTGGCTGACCACGTTGTGCCAAAAAAAAACAGTAATCATTTCACCTAACAAAGATATCTGCAATGAATTAATATGCATCTTACTCTGCATCATAATCTGAAAACAACATGGTCACAACAAAAGCTAAAGACATACAATTTGACTTTGTACTGTTGCAAAATTGTAAGCTAAAACAACTTTGTAGTCATTTTAATGCATATAAACATGTCACTAGTTAGTGATTTAGTGCTACAGAACAATTTCACAAACAAATTGAAGCCTTTACTGCTATGTTTAACAGTTTGACTAAATAAAAGGCCAAATTTGATCAGTTTCTTGTGTTTGCTGACAATCAATGACCACAAATATTTAATTTAGGCTCTTGTTTCCCCAACTTCTCAGGCTGAATGCCAAACCTTGTGCAATAAAAGAAAAGGCACAGATGTAGGAACGTTTTTCACATACTTTTATTTCCATTGTTCTCCTCTAGCATTTTTTTTACATTATTAATTTTTTACATAAGAACAGACTGTTATACACAGATACTGAAGCAGGGCAAAGGTGGTGAGGGAAAGAAGACAAAAACCATACAAAATGGTGTCTACTCAAGCACAACAAAATCTATGTATATAAAACTCTGTGGGTCGCTCCACTGCCGAGGCACCAACCACTACCTCAATTATTCATGTTTTAAATAGATTAATAAAAATACAATCTTTTTAAATGGACCTTTTAATGTTGGTGGCAAAATTAGAGATGTAGAGGCATAATGAGGGGAGTCGATAACAGTGATGGAGAAAATGTGGTCGGCTTTCAGGGTTTCTCCCTCTGCCTGAAGGGAAAGATAACCCCATCTTTTTTGTTTGTGTTTATTTTTAATGGCACACAGCAACTAGCGGTGGCTACTTTTCACCATAAACTTGAACACGCAACATGATCAACAACGGCACACGATGAGGGAGGAGGAAATAAAAGAAGACAAAAACACTGCTTTGTGTGTTTTTCAACACGTTCTCATTTGCCCGCCTTCAACGAAAGAAAAGAAATAGCTCTCTGTGCTGTAGTGTTTCCTAGTTAGACGTGTTTTAGCGGAGAGAGCAAAAGGAAACGGATGAAGGTGTGTGTTGGGAAGGTGAAAGGGTTTAGAGCAGTGAAAGGGATGAGTTCATGATGAAACACAGTGAGGTCTGCAGAAATCCCAACAGTCTAAAAACACTCAGACGAATGCTCAAAGTCTTTATCCTTTTTTAAAGTATTCTTCATTCTTGGGGAATGTGGAGACCACATGCGCGCAGAAAACAACCCAAGTGTTTCTGCTGATAGTATGACACGGTTGCGGTCTCCATTAGATGATGCTTCACCGGACCAATAATCAATTTTCCAGTTTGAAAGCAGCATGGAGGAGAAAACTGGAAATGGGGACAGCCCGACTGGAGTTGTGGAGCTCAGGAATGTTGTGTGCCTTCTGCTTTTCTTATTTTTAAACATACAGTTTCTGAATAAGGTGGCTGAGGTGTTGCTGGGCACACTCCACCAGCTTTAGAGCTGAGGTCTGCTCTAATCCCACCTTCCTGGTCAACTGTACGCCTGGTGGAGGGCTAAGCTGTTATCTCAGGTTTAGAAGATGGAGCCATGCACAGAGTGGCCTGTAAGACATGTGGAGAGAGAGAGACAGCTTGGAGCTAGGGCCGCCTGGGACCCTGTCATCTATTGGCTGGGAAGTAATTAGGGTCCAAGTAGTTGTAGCCTGCGCTCTGCGGCAGGCGGTAGTCCCTGTCCAGAAAGGTTTCTGGTTGATACACCGGTTCCAAGTGGTGGCTAGGTTTATGGGTCTCCGTCTTGAATAAGCTGGAAGAAAAAAAGATGACATCATAAATCATGTGGCATCAAAAATCAGCCAAAGTTCAAGGAAAACAATTTAAAGACACGTTAGACAACTTTAAATCTTATCAAGAGAGATCACATCAGGAAATTATATCAAGAAAGCCTGGCTGCTTGGAAGGGAATTATAAAAATAAAGGATAATTCAAGGCGCACTGGTACGTCTTCGATCAGAGCAACCAAAGAAAATCACATGCTGCATTTAAAAACAGCTAAATAGAAAAGGCAAATGTTGCTTTCTTTTAGGATATTTACATTTTCCTGCTCGATTAATACAAGAAAGCTGACAAAATTCTTCTGCAACTTGTGAATGTTGTCCTACAGCAAACCTAGAATGCTCTTTAGAGCAAATATTTTCAAATTTAATCTGACAGGGGTTCTGTTCTTCAGGATGTTTGAAATGGTGGTGGATTTAATGCAGACAATAAATAATAAAAAGAAAATACTAAAAAAAAAGATAAAGGTAAAATAAACAGTAAAAATAAATATTTTATATATTATATATTTAAAAAAATATATAAAAATAATAAAAAACTTAAAAGGTAAAATTAAATGAAAACTATAATGCAATAGAATAAATATTGATATTAAGCTTTGAATATGGGAAGCAGAGGTCATGATTTAAATTCAATATCTTAAAGTATGCAAAAATAATTTTGTAATCACTTTTGCCTATGACAGTTTTAGGGAAATTAAATATTCAATGTATGGCCTGTGTTCTTTGAATATTTACCATATTTGACAGGATATCATTAAAATAGGCATAAGGGAAGACACTTTTGTACCTCTTCAATTACTTTTTTTCCAAAAACCTTTGATTTCCTCAACAAAAGTATATTTTTTGGGTCCTTTTAATTTATTCAGAGCATTGTTCTTCAAAAAATAAGGAGCCCGTCGATTTGCTCATCGATCCAGGTAATTAAGCTTTTCTTGCTACTCCGTGCTTAATCTCCTGCACAGGAATACTCTCTGGCGTATAAAGGCTCAGATTTAACTGGGAAAGGTCTCACCAGTCTGAGCAGTTGGAGCAGAAGTCGACAGAACTTTCTGGTGGACAGTCCTGACAGTGCCAACGGACTCCCTGGATGGGCTCCATGCTGCACACGTCGCACTGCACAAGACAAAGGAAAAACAAATGCATTCAGTATCTGGTGGTGAGGATGAACTCAGTAACAACTGCTCAGAGGTCTGTAACTTTATGACCCAAAGAGAGTTTTTACTATTTTCCTTCATCTAGAGCCCAAACATCTCCCTTTTACATTTAAAAAAGAAAGATGAAGGTGATGAAAAGCCATAAAAGGGCTATTTCTGTAATTGTAGTGAGACTGATTTAACACTTGTGGTCATTTCTAATAGGTGTGAAAAACTCTCTCTTCTACCTTTGCTGCTAACAATTCAAATCAATGATGCTAAATTCATTTTCTGCTTTTCTCTAGGTAGAAACTACTCTGCATTTTAGACCATACTCTGTATAGAGTTTAATCAGCTAACTAAAACAACAGTTTTTTCCCCCATGCATTCTAGAAAGAAGCCAATGTTGCTAATTAAATGCTGCGTATTTATAGCTGTCTGCCTTTGTTTATTTACCAACTTAGGTGCACACACAACATGCAGCTTAACTGCTCCTCTTTTTGTATTATTGCCATTATTGTGTAACGGAAACTCTGTACATGGTGCTATATTCTGGAGAGTTAAACTAGAATTTCCTATTGAAATTGAAATATAAACATTATGGCAGTTCATTTTATTTTTAGTTGACATCAAAGGGGCTCCAAACAGGTTTGGGAGCTGCATATTTTCTCTGCATAACCTCACACATTTATACGAGTGAACTACTACTATTGCTTTTTGCACTCTTGAAAAAAAATTATTTATTTCATTACTTCAAAAATGTAGCTTTTACTTTTGCAGACTGTTCAAGTATTCATACTTTATAACATTTTGTCAAGTTGCAAAATCAGACTTCAGTGTATTTTATAGGGATTTTACGTGATAGACCATCAAAGTAGCATAGATGCGAAGTGGAAGGTAAATCATACATGGTTTAAAATTGTTCTTAAAAATTAAAATCTTAAAAGTGTGGCATGCTTTTGTATTGAGCCCCTTAGAGTTAATACATTGTAGAACCTCATAATCAAGTATTCTCCTTCTAACTTGTTTTCTCCCAGGCTTGTGCTGGATTTAGCTCCATCCATCTACCCATAAACACCGACCAGCTTCCCTCTCCCACAGCATGATGCTGCCACCATTATGTTTTACCGTGGGGATGGTGTATTTTCTGGCACGCATAAAATTTGCATTCAGGTCAAGAAGTTTAAATTTGCTCTTATTTGAACAACACACCTCTTCCATATGTTTACTGCGTCCCCTACTTGGCTTCAAATGGGACTTCAGACACAGGCAGCAGTTTTCAGATGTTAAAAACCATGTTTCATTCCCCTTAATCTTCAACATATGCAATTTCTGTTGGTCTGCAACCAAAAATCCTAATAAAACATGAGCGTTTCTGTTTGGAATGTGACAAAAGGTGGGAAA